TTTCTATAAAAAGGAGCTTTATGTTTCTAACCAAATACAATCACCAAAATGATCCCAATTTAAATAAAGGTAAGGCCTTATGGACAACCCAAGGTTCTACTAAATTCAAAACGAATTGGGAAAGAAGTGCAATATATCACTTAAGTAGTAATCTTATCCAGTAAGAGACTGTAAATTCAAACCAAATGTTCAATAATAAATGCAACTTATATTTATGTAGGGCTATGTGATTGTGAAAAGCTTCCATATACAGTTTCTCATTTGATCATCCCAATAATTCTGAATCTGTAGTAGAAAGCAAACATTTGTAAGTTCATGTCAATGAAGAAAAATAAGGCTTAGCAAGATTTTGTGATTTGCCAAAGGTAATAAATGGCTCCAACAATAATGGAGTTTGAATCTGGTCTTTTGATTTCAAATACCAGGGTTAAGTCAACAACACAAGCACATGTTAGTCTTTTTTTTTTTATTTTAAAAACATTAAAAATTTTGAATCAAGGAAGAAGTATTTAAAAATTACATTTCTTCATTAACTATTTAAATAGTGACTACTGTATGCCAACCTCTGGGGAGTCAGAGATCAATTGGGCCATGACTTTAGGGAGCTCATATAAAGATATACAAACGCACACAGGAAACTGTGCAGTGTGGCGTTGTGGGTTCTGTGGTTGATGCTCAATTGCAAGGGAGGATATTCAAAGTCTCCATAAAGGCAGAGACATTCGAGATGAATCTCAAAAGGAATGCAAGGTTTTCCTAAGCAAACAAGCCAGGGAACTGTGAGCTCCCAGAGAATGGCTGGAGCACAGGATGCAAGGGAGGGAGGGACAAAGGATGAGGCTAACCAGCACTCACATCTAGTTTCTTGAATTCTGAATCCAGTGAATTTTCCTTGCTAAACCATAGTTATCTTTCATAAGAGCCAAGAATTATTTTTTAAAAGCAGCATCGAAGTAACTATATAATATCTTTCCTAGACAGAAGGGAAAGAAAAGAATTCCCTGAATATAATGCTTCTATCCTATTTTTCCTAAAAACTGATTCAATAAGTATGTGTTAAAAAAAAAAAGTACGTGTTAAGTCAGCACTATGACTTAAGAGTTACAGGGTGATTTTAAAAAATAAACCATGAAGCTACCAAAGAGAGAGAGAGAGAGAGAGAGAGAGAAGGTAGGTGTGGCTGGGTCATAAAGTGCCTTTTTACCACTCTGAGAGTTTAAATTTTATCTTGAAGATAACAGCAAGTCACATTTAGCAGTATATAGATATGATCAGATTCGTACCCAAGATGAGCTCTGGGAAGGCAGAGGAGAATCCAGAAGGGAGGGGCAAGTGTTGAAAGAATTATGATATAAAACTATACTTCAAACCAACGTACCAGACACTAGATAAATAGAAGTTGTTCAGAAGTAATTTATCATGAAGGATCAATATATGAAACTGTATCTGAGGAATCAGCAAAGAAATATGCCAATTAGTTGGCTATGAGATCATAGAGTTCTGTAATCTATGAGACAGCGTTTGATTGATTGGGGACCCTCAGGAGATAGCACAGCAAGTGGGAGGTGTGCCCAGACAGATCCCCTTTGAGGACAGTTTTTGAGGAGTCACACCATTGGATGGGCTACTGGGAAATACAGATGTTATCTCTCCCCCCAACTTTTTTTTTTTTTGGACAAAAGGCACATTTTGTCTTTGTTCTATTTGAAGATATATAACTCTTATTTTGAGGTTCTGTAGCCTGAAAAAAGAAAAAGCTGTTTAGAAGGACCTGTGCACTGGGTAGGTTCTTTTTCTTTTAGAAGGACCTACGCACTAGATAGGTTCTTTTTCTTTCCCATGCCTAAGGAATGCCTAGTGGTAGAGGTAGATTCCATACATTGAGGGTCTGCTGTATATAGATTCTTCAAATAGTCATCTAAGGAAGAAACTGACGCCTTGCAATAAATGAGGAAGGTCAGGTTTATAGAGTTTCTTGCTCAAATATCTAATCTAGTAAGGGACAGTCTGAGAACCTAGAATTTAATCCTTGATTTCTGATACCCCAACCAGAACTTTTTAAAAAGATATTTATTTTTTAATATTTGTATATGGTGCTGAGAAGCGAACCCAGTGCCTCATGTATGCTAGGCAAACGCTTTACCACTGAGCCACAACCCCAGCCCTGCCAACCAGTACTTTTACTTTGGTTTTACTTTTACTCCCACATAGTTGGGTTGCTCGCTATGTGAGAATGCTCCCTATGGCCTCAGTGGGGCAAAGCACAGCTCTTCTCAGACCTTGCATGCTTTTCCATTTCTCCTCCTTCTACATCTCAACTCGAATGAGGTGTCCACAGAAAAGCCCTCCCCAAGCACCTAGCTAATTATCCCAGGTTATACTCCACACACTGCTTATTAAATAACGTTTACTCAGGCTCTTTGGAGGTGTGATCGATAACTGAAATTATTTGATTACACGTTTCTTATGTCACATGGCTGAAATGTAAGTTCCTGTCAGGACGGCTGCATGCTATATTTTCTGTAACATCCCTAGCACTGAGAAGAGAACCTAGCACATAGCTGGTGCTCAGTAAATATTTGATGACTGACTGACCTGCTGTCTTAGTAACAGCCACAAAGGTGTGTTGATCTGCAGAATGGATAGTGGATCTGGATAACGAATTCTATTTATAGCTTTATATTGTCTTGAAGACTATAGGTGATTGAATAACCTTTCTATATTAACATTTGTAAAATATCTGTAATTTCCAAGAAATTACTAGGAAAGAGCCAAATAACATGCATAAAGCACTTACATCTCTTCTAAACCCATACTAAATTTCACCTTCATCTTCAAAGTCATATTAGAATCAAGATAGAAGGGTAGTTCATTTTTCAAAACACAATTTCCTTTAATGGTAGGTCACAAATTGACTCAGATACTAATGAGTTTCAGACAAATAACTTTTGGCTACTGAACAAATCATGAATAAAAGCAAGCACTGAATATTCACCAGCAGTTATTGCCTGACCATGATGCTCAGGTGCCCTCTAGTGTGTGTAGCTTTTCATCTCAGCTCCTTGCCTCACACATTGTGTGCTGGAGATCTTATCGTGTATTCAAAGTGCATTTTATTTATTCATTTTTATTATAGTTATTAGCATCAAAGTGCATTTTAGTGTATAATCAAGAGATCTATAAAAACAGCAAAAAGACTGGAGCAACTGAATTTAAACGTCAGCAGTTGTGTTTGGAGCCCTGGTGTATAATCAAAAATGCAAGATGGGTCGACCCAATGCAGTCAGGGGATGTGATGCTATTTGGGTTACTTCAAAATTGTGTATTGTAAAAGCCTCTTTCCCCATTTTTACTGTTATTTTTCTATTTAATTTTTAAAAGTTTGCATATAGATATGGTTGAAAAATAAGCGATTTGAAAGTTATAAATTGAAAAGCTATGTTCCCAGGCAGTCCCACTCCACCCATTGCACTTAACCATCTACTTATATAGTCTTCAACAAGTTGTTATAAATATCAAGCAAATAGACATATATTTTTCTTCTCTAATTTTTAAATACTGCACATATGCTGGAGAGTGATATTGGCCAAATTATATTGTTATATTGTGTGCATGTTCAAATATGTAAAACAAATCTCATCAATATGTACAACTATGATGCACTGACAAAAAATGTGGGAAAAATACTGCACACACTGTTCTACACCTTGAATTTTTCTTAATAACAAATCCTGTTAAATTACTTATAAGATAATCTCATTTTTTTTGGCAGCTAGAGTATACTTTGTTGTGTGGATATACCATAAGTTACTTAACTACTTTCCAATTGACAGATACTTGGGTGACTTCCAATCTTTTGCTGTTACAAATAAAGCTGAGGGTTGTGGCCTGGCTCAGTGGGCAGAGCGCTTGCCTAGCATGCATGAGGCACTGAGTTCGATCCCCAGCACCACATAAAATACACAAATAAAATAAATGTAAAACAAAACAAATAAAGCTGAAATTAATGATCTTGTACAGGTATGATGTGTAATATTCAGTTAAGGGTAACTGGTATCGCTCTGATATTTATCATTTCTTTATATTGGAAACAGTGTTAGTCAGCTTTCTGTTGCTTTTACAAAATACCTGAGATAATCAACTTATAATGAAGAAAAACTTATTTTGGCTCACAGTTTCTGAGGTTTCAGTCCACGATTGATTGACCCTGTTGCCTTTGAGAAGCACAGCATGACATAGGGCATATGATAGAACAAAGTTGCTCTTCTCATGGCAGACAGGAAGCAAAAGAGACAAAGAGAAAAGGGCAGGGACTGTTCTTTTAAAGGATATGTCCCCTTGTTACCAGGTTACCTCCCACTAGACCTCGCCTAGTTTCCACTTTCTCCCAATAAAGCTAAGCTGGAGACTAAGAATTTGGGGCCTTTGAAAGACATTTCTGATCCAAACTATAGCAGGAACATTCAAAATCCTCTCTACAATCTATTTTGAAATATTTACTTAATTGTCAACATTGGTTATCCTATGTGACACAGCAGCAATCTGCTTTATCAAGTCTCCCAGATGACTCTGATATATGTTAGTATTTGGAAGCCACTGCTGTAGACTAGTGATTCTCAGTCTTGGCTAAACATTAGGATCACCTAGGGAGTGCTAGAGCAGCACAGTCCAGGTGAACTTCATTAGGATTTCAGTTGTTAGCCTAGGACTCAGTATTTTGAAAGTACTCAAGGTGATTCCCATGTGAAGCCAAGGCTGAGAACCACTCCCCTAGTGTATAAACCACTGAGGGCTTTGTTTTGCTTTTAAGAATCTGCAGAATAAGTCCCCTCACTCTAGGAGCATGGGCAGCATACAGAATGTAGTATGGAAGGTTTGTTAACTCCCAAGTTGGTACAATGACCTCATCATCCCCAAAGCAGGTATAGCCAGCCACTGAAAACAAATGCAAATTCCAGTTTGGTGTTTCCAGAAGAGAAGCTTAAGTAGCTACTACGTACCTGCTCTGGGTGAGTTTCCCCCCTTTTTCTGTTGTGAAGTTGAAGATACGAGTCTGTTTTAGGAGAGGGTAATCCCAAAGTCAGCTTGTTTTTTTCCACAAAATATTGCTTGGACTTCCTTCTCCGAGGGCCACGTGATCCTGGCAGGAACACCTCATTATGTGAACTTGAACTCTTCAGGTACTGAGAGAGGTTGCTTGACTTCTCCTCCATATCACTACTGCTCAGCTCTGAAAATGGCTCTTTGTGTTGGGCACCACTCTCATAGTTTGGGCTTAAAAATTCACTTCCAAGTAAGGAAGTTTCGCTCTGAGAGCTCTTTCTCTGTTTGCCTTTTCCCTCTGAGAGTTCCATTGAAGTCTCCTTGGAAGGGTAGAGTGGATCCAAGGGCAGATTTTCTGAATAACTGGCTGCAGACTCTGGCAATGCTTCCCCCCTCAACAACTGCCCTTCTTCCTTCTTATTCTTCCAATTTGGGTCATAGCGGAGGTCTGAGTATTTGTCTTCTATAGGTTGTTGGCTGTCCAAAGCAGAAAAGAAATGGCAAGTCCTTAGTCCAGATAATTCACTCACTGTATTCAGTTGATCATTTCATTTGAAATTAATCTCAATCTTTCTCCTCTAATTTCCTTCTTACTGTGTATATGTTAAAGATGTAGCTCAGGCTCAGATTAGAACCATGCACTACACATAAGCACAAAAAGGTCTTAATTACTCAATTTTATTGAAATATGGAATAAAAATGGAAGACAATTCTAAATGCCTGAAAACAAAATGTCTTCCACATTAAGCAATGAATCCCTATTGTTCAGAGAAATATACACAAAAAAATATACACAAAAATGATCCAGTATTTCAGCTAGTGAAGATAAAATCATAATCATAATTTAGCTGGTAATGCACACATTTGGCTATTCATCTAGGAAGGGAAATATGGATTGTTGCCTAGACATCATTTGTCTTAGCCTCCTCCCTTTGGGAGGAAAGCCAGAATTTATCTCAATTTAATATCTATGGAGGTTTATCCTTCTTCTCAGTAATTTTGCTTTCCATATCATATTGTGGATTTTATCAAATGTATTATAGAAAGATCCCCATAGCTTAGAATCAGAATGCGACTCACTGAAAGGTTCAGTCTCTTGCTTGTCAGGTCTGTGCCCACAAAACTCAGTAGACATGTCAGTGTGTACTTGATACTATAGGATGGCCCTATCTGAATGAAAGGTTAAGCAGAAGGTCCTGCCAGTGGGAAGAACTCGTTCTTAATGCGTGCAGATGACCCCAAATAAAGTCCTCCCTTTTCTCCATGACAATCTCAATTTGTAAAGTATCCTCTAGTCTTAACCAAAAAAGAAAAAAAAATATGCTGGTAATATGGCATATTTAATGGCCTCTTTGATCTTCAAAAGCTAAATGGGAGAGATTTTCCTTCCTTGAGTACAGTGGATGCAATCCTGTAATCAAAAAGAAAATGTAAATCACTCCAGCTTTTTATGCTATTTGATATTCCCGTTTACAGAAGATGTAATTTTATGCTGGGTAAACAAACTAATGGTCCCCCTAATACTAATTTACTCTTCTTAATGTGAACTTTGATTTGGTGGAAAGCAAAAACTGAAGGAAAAGCCAAAATTCCCATGTCTTGCTAAATTGTCACTTTGAATTTTTTGGTTTGCATATTAGGATGGAAAACTTTTTTAAATAGTCCTCTAGCAAAATGTTTGAGAGGGAATGATCCATTTATCAGGAAATGGGATGTCAAACTGTGTCCCACTATGTCCTGAGCATTACAGGATGACCTGCCCCCAGGCTTTGATGGGGTGGTTTCTCCTGGGTGCCATCCCTATGAACTCGCAGTGTTTCTTGGCCTGGCCTGGCCTGTCACCTGGATATTTAAGAGTTGGCACAGGCACATGGACAATGGCATGGTCAGCAGAGCCCAAACTGGACTTGGACCAGACACTGGTGGCTCAAGTTCTGGATGTGCCCCTACCTCTTATGTGTCAGTTGCCAATTCATGTCATCTTGGAGCCAGTTTCTTTCATCTCTGAGAAGTTATATTCATTTTGTTTTGTTTATTTCTTAAGAATGCATAAGGATCAACAGTGTCTCTTACAGGGCTCTGTGTTGGTTCTTATTTCTGGTAAATTTGTCTCCTCACCTAGGGGAAGATCAGGGCAACAGGGCCTATTGGTTATCTTCCTTTTCTTGTCTCTGCCCCAGTATGCCGCACCATGCCACGGACATAAGAATTCTAGAATAAATAATTGCATCTCCAAAAATACTCTAGTCAGCACAAATAAGCATTACATATTTGTTTTTTAAAACCAATAGTAATAAATTAGAATCTAAACATGCAGGAGCTTCTTGCATTGGGCCAAATTAGTGAATGACTTTAGAACTTATCTTGCACTGAGCAAAACACAAAGTTCATCTGTGGCTGTTTAGCAGATGTGAGGGTGATCTGGCTTTAACACCTGACACTCCACTGACTGGCAAGGTTGATTTGGCCAAACTGGCTGGCCAAGTAGGTGTCCCCTTCCTTTCTCACCACTCCAGGTATAGCCCTTCCAATGCATGTGCTCCACTTAAGAGGATGACCTTCCCACTAGAGGAGGCCAGTTCTTTTGTCAAGGGTATATGAACCCTGCTAGAACCTCCAAATAGGCTCTCAACTGTGGTCTTTTAGGTATAGAAGAAAGCTCAACTATTATCTTCAGGTAAATAAAAAAATTTTAATAAAGAAATGTGCTGTTTGCCCATGTCCATACTATAATGAAAGGAAAAACTGAATTTGACTCTACTCTTTATTCATTAGGAAACTCATGAATTCAGTAAATACTTACTTATTAAGCACTTGCTAAGCCAGGGGGATATGGAGGTAAATGACACAGTGCTGGACTCACAGACCGGAGTGGGTAGAGACAAGCTAACAAGCAGCTTACAATGTGGAGGGATGTCTGCTCTGATGAGAGGCATGGGGCCATCAGGTCTCAGTGGGAACATCCACTCCTGTCTCAGGAAATTGGGAAGAACTTTCAGGAGGAAGCGATGGCACTGCTGAGACCTAAGGCTGAAGAAGCATGTGCTAAGCTGAGGGAACAACATGTAAAAAGGAATGGAGGGGAGAGAGAATGTGGTGTTTTCCAGGAACAACTTCTGAATGAATAAAGTGGAGGGTGTTGGGAAGGAAGGCTGAAGAACAGAGCTCAAGGTCAAGCAGAGGTCGGATCTTGAATGACTTTGCAAACTCTATGAAAGCATCTGGGCTCCATAAATTGATTTGTAAGTTTAGTTGGAGAGAAGAGATTTTAGAAAACATTTCTGGACAACCAAAGCATTGAGTTTCTGGTATACACTAGTCCTCTAGTTTTCACTGCTTAGAACAAGGATGGCCACCTCTCAAGGTGACAACCCTGGGCATCACTGTTCTGCCACTCAGTAGGGAGAGGGATGTAGAAAGACAGCACATTACATTGTATGTTGATCTCAAGGAATGCTTGCAGTGAATCCCTAATTTTTGCCTTAGAACAACTTGAGGGAAGTATAGTACTATTATTATTATCCTCATTTAACTGATGAAGAAACTAAGGCTGATAGAGCTTTTCTAAGTCTCCCAAGGCCACAGAGCAAAGGAGTGGTAGAGCCAGGATACAGACCCTGGCAGTCTGCTCTGGTTCCTGGATCTTGTCCATTAAGTAGCAATAGATGCCACAGCATTTCCCATAGGTGGGCGTGAAGCAAACTTGGTGCAGTGTCTGCCTTGGGTGAGTCAGAGAATTGCTCAGTAGGCCAGCAATAGATATCTGTGGAGAACCTCCCTGTGTATAGGCAGAATGTTAGGCACAAAAGATAAAGCAGTACATAAAAGAGAAGCAGGCTGGTGGATCCTCTCCTTCAGTGAGGAGGACAGGCTTTATGTACCAACTGTAATGAATGAGGAAAGATTTAAACAGGATGCTGTAAGTATTTCCAACAGGAAGACAGGGCTGGATACAGAGCTCACTGGTAGAACATTTGCTTAGTATGCATGAGGGCTTGGGTTCCATCTGCAGCACTATAACAACAAAAACAATAATAATAAATAAAAATAAAATAGGAGGAAATAACCTTGTTTATCACTGAAAATGTTAACCTCTTATTTCCAGATTCAATTGCTAGATGATATCTCAAGTCTATTCCAAATCCATTGTTCTATAATTCTATGATAGACTGACAAGATAATCAATAACTGAGTAATGTCCACCTATTTTTTCAATAAGTAATTGCCATAGTGTGAATTTAAAGTGTCTCTCAAAGGCCCATAGGGTAAAGGCTTGTTGCCAGCCTGTGACATTATTGGAAGGTGGTAGAACCTCTAAGAGATGTGGCCTAGAGGAAGGAAGTTAGGTCACTGGGTGTGTGCTCTAGAAGGGGATATTAGGACCCTGCTCCTTCCTCTCTCTCTCTGCTTCCTGGCTGACATGATATGAACAGCGATCCTCCACTGCGTGCTCCTGCCATGAGGCACTGTCCCTCCACAGAGCCAAAGCAACAGGGCCAAATGACTGAACTGAAGCCTCTAAAAGTATGAATCACAATAAATCTTTCCTTCTTATAAGTTGTTTATGTCAGGTATTTTGTCACAGTGATAGAAAGCTGACTAACAGTAACTTTCAACAGTTGAAGGAAATGGATTTCTGATTTTCTCATCTGCAGTTACACCAAAATTAATATACTGAGACTAGTCATCATATTTTACCAGTATCAGCAAAAAATGGCATCATGTCTACAGACATGGCTAAAGACTTTCCTCGATCACATGCAATGATCATGGTGCTTTGTTTCTATGAATGATGACATGGAATACTGTGGTTCTGAGAAATGGTTCAGCAGAGTGTCAAAGGACAAGCGTCCTAGAATCAGCTGCCTACACTGAATTCCTGGTGTCACCAGTTGCTATGTGAACATGGGAAAGTTATTTAATTAACTTTTGTGTTTGCACTGAGTCACAGTCAGTAAGGGCTAGCTATGAAAGCACCTGTCAGTGAGCTGTTACTGGTCTCTGCTTGATGCGTGACATTCAGACACCATAGCATGGCTTTGTTGTTGTGTACTGTGCTTCCTGCTGATGGATCTCCAGGGATCCTTCTCTCCCCAAGGCTTCAGGTATTTCCAGGGAACAAAGCTATCTTGTGATGCTATAAGTGTTACTCTAGTAGCCTGAAAGAATTAACACCCATCTTTAAAAATCCAATTTTTAGTTGTGACTTAGGCATTATGGAGAATGTATGAATCATAACTTAGGACATGGGATTGAGAAATGTCAGTGTTTCCATGAGACAAAACATTTTGACAGCTGCTGAAAGGTGATGAAGAAGATGAAACTGGGAGAATTAAATTATTTTAGAATTTCCACGAAAGTTGTAGTCTCTAATCTCAATAGATTTCCTTTCTCAAGAGGCTACAAAAGCAATATCACATGCTATAGAAGACTAATGTTTTAAGTGGAACCTGGAAAATACAGAAACAAACCTGATT